CAAAATCACACAAAGAAGCATACACATACACACTCACAAAAAGAGGAAAAGGGGAAAAAAAAAGAAAAAATATATATATAAAGGAAAAGAGCAACCAAATCAATAAACAAATCTACCAGTGATAATAAGCTCTAAATGCTAAACTAAGATAAACATAAAACTAGAAACAAATTAGATGCAGAAGACAAACCCCAAGTCTACAGTTGCTCCCAAAGTCCACCGCCTCAGCTTTGGGGTGATTCATTGTCTATTCATGTATTCCACAGATGCAGGGTACATCAGCTTGATTGTGGAGATTTAGTCCTCTGCTCCTGAGGCTGCACAGAGAAGTTTCCCTTTCTCTTCTTTGTTCACACAGCTCCTGGGGTTCAGCTTTGGATTTGGCCCTGCTGCTGCATGTAGGATGCCCTCTGGCGTCTGTTTGTTGCCCGGAGAGGAGGGGCTTAAAGGAGCAGCTTTAAGATTAGGGGGCTCTGGCTCACTCAGGCTGGGGGGTATGGAGGGGTATGGAATTAGGGGCGAGTCTGTGGTGGCAGAGGCCAGTGTGAAGTTGCAACAGCCTGAAGTGCACTGTGTGTTCTCCTGGGGGGAGTTGTCCCTGGATCTCAGGCCCCTGGCAGTGGCGGGCTGCACAGGCCCCTGGGAGGGGAGGTGTGGATAGTGACCTGTGCTCACACACAGGCTTCTTGGTGGCAGCAGCAGAAGCCTTAGCGTTTCATCCCCATCTCTGGTGTCCATGCTGATAGCCACGGCTCGCGCCCGTCTCTGGAGCTCATTTAGGCGGTGCTCTGAATCCGCTCTCCTTGCACACCATGAAACAATGGTCTCTTGCCTCTTCGGCAGGTCCAGACCTTTCCCCGGACTCCCTCCCAGCTAGCTGTGGCGCACTAGCCCCCTTAAGGCTGTGTTCCCGCAGCCAACCCCAGTCCTCTCCCTGTGATCTGACCTCCGAAGCCCGAGCCTCAGCTCCCAGCCCCCACCCATCGTGGCGGATTAGTAGACAAACCTCTCTTGGCTGGTGAGTGCCGGTCAGCCCTGATCCTCTGTGCACAAATCTCTCCACTTTGCCCTCCGCACCCCTGTTGCTGTGCTCTCCTCCACGGCTCCGAAGCTTTCCCCCTCCGTCACCCACAGTCTCTGCCCATGAAGGGGCTTCTAGTGTGTGGAAACCTTTCCTCCTTCACGGCTCCCCCCGCGAGGTGCAGGTCCCGTCCCTATTCTTTTGTATCTCGTTTTTCTTTTTTCTTTTGCCCTACCCAGGTACGTGGGGAGTGTCCTGCCTTTTGGGAGGTCTGAGGTCTTCTGCCAGCGTTCAGTAGGTGTTCTGTAGGAGTTGTTCCACGTGTAGATGTATTTTTGATGTATCTGTGGGGAGGAAGGTGATCTCCACATCTTACTCCTCTGCCATCTTGAAGATCCTCCTCCAGATCATATATATATATATATATATATATATATTTTTTTTTTTTTTTTTTTTTTTTGCGGTACACGGGCCTCTCACTGTTGTGGCCTCTCCTGCTGCGGAGCACAGGCTCTGGACGCGCAGGCTCAGTGGCCATGGCTCACAGGCCCAGCCGCTCCGCGGCATGTGGGATCCTTCCGGACTGGGGCACGAACCCATGTCCCCTGCATTGTCAGGCGGACTCTCAACCACTGTGCCACCAGGGAAGCCCCAGATCATATATTTTTGAAAGCACATAATTTTCTTATAATTTTATGTAGTTCAAATTAGTCATTTATTTCTTAACATTGTAACAACTTTTAAGTAATTTTAAATAAGGGGAAATAACTTTTATAAAACAAATATTAAAAAGATGTTATAAAATTAAAGTATTTTAACTATTATTATATATTTTTACATAGTGCATTTTATTCTATATCTAACTAACTTCAAAAATTATATGTATAAACTTTGTGCTTTGATTTACACGTAGACATTTTGAAATGTCCACCTACAAGAACATTTTACAGTTGAAATAGTATTAAAGAACAAACATAAAAGTCTGTTTTTGCAACTGTGGCAGAATAACTTGAAAAGAGAAAAACTGGCTGATAATATATTTGAATTTTGATCTGGTAGATAGTGAACTTATGCAATACATGTAAAATTTCCTATATCCCTATTGTAGGGTGTTGGGGGGAGAGTTAAATAACCTTGAAAGCACGGTAATTAGATAAAGAATACATATGAAGATAATTAAACGAACATCTAAAAAGAAATTTTAAAATTACAGACTCAAATACCTACTAGTTAACATTAAAATAAAAATGTACCACACATATATAAACTACTACTTTTTTTTTCAGTAATATGGCTTTGACATGAGATTGCCTTGCAAGTGACTCATAAGCCCCATCAGGAACATTTGAGATTTGCTTCTGTGAATACAAAGGTGATTCCATCTGGAAAGTGGGTGACAGGGTTTCCAGTTTGCTGATTTCATTCACCCTTTTCTCTCATTCCGTTACAATTCCATATACCCTCAGAAAATTGTATTTGCTTGTATCATTTTACACCTCTATATGGACTGGATCCAAGCTGACAAATTCCATGAGTTGCATATCTTCTTTGAAGTTTGACTTCAGGAGTCTTTCTCTTAGCCTTATTTTAACTATCATCTTCCTTTCAATAATTTATTTTGTTGAGTTGTTTATGGCAGAAGGGCAATTCCAGTACCAGTTACTCAGTCATGGTTAGAAATTTTCATCTCTTGAGTCAGTTCATGTACAGTAATTTTTTTTTTTTTTTTTTTTTTTTTTTGCGTTATGCCGGCCTCTCACTGCTGTGGCCCCTCCCGTTGCGGAGCACAGGCTCCGGACGCGCAGACTCAGCAGCCATGGCTCACGGTCCTAGCCGCTCCGCGGCATGTGGGATCTTCCCTGACCGGGGCATGAACCCGCGTCCCCTGCATCGGCAGGCGGACTCTCAACCACTGCGCCACCAGGGAAGCCCTACAGTAATTTTTTGAAACGCTTAGAATCAGGCATTCTGGTCATCTTTCTCATCCAGCAAAAAACAACTTCAGTCTCTGTAAAGTCAATATTGTTGATACCTTCTCAAGAGGAAACAAAATTTGAGACCTCCACCTCATGCCCACTGAATCACAGATGCTTTCACACAGCATGGTTGGTATTTTCCAAACATTTTAGTGTGTTTGCCATTGTTTTTCAATGATTCTAGTTCATGTAACAAGTCCTCAAAAAGATCTTTAATTCATTAAGAACCTACTTTCAGCGTATCACAAGTATGTCCATTCAATTCTGAATAAGAAATGTGTTTAGTGATTCCAAATAAGTATGTATATATATTTAGGATACACAAGTGTGAAGGATGACACCATTTCTGAGCAGAGAACTTTAGCTGTACATTGGTATTACTACATGTGGTTTTCTGCCCAGGTTGCCATAAATTTGGAGACTAAATATAACTCAACCAGAATATGGTTGAAAAGCATGAAACCTCGTATATATGGGATATGTAAAGTTTTATTAATCTGGTCACATATGTTCTCCAATGCAGCAAAATCATTTTAGTTTCTCCTAAATAAAACAAAGGGAAAGCTGTTTTGTTTTGGTTTTTTTCTAGGCATAAGGCTGACTAATGTGAAAATCGAGGCTTAGCAATACTTCCCTTACTTGTGGATCCAGAAGAGTGTATTTTCAAATTCAAAGTTAAAAATCAACAATGAGATGTGGTTCTTCCATTCCCTTTGCCCTGCCCTTCTAACCCTGAAAGGGGAAAATACAATAAATCCAACCTCCTCAATTGCCAGAAGAACATCTCCATAAATCTACACAGCTGAGTTGTTGATTGAGAGTAGTTTTCTCTAATTTATTTTTTTTTAATCTCAAGGCTTTTCTAGGAAAGTCAGGGAAAGAAGGAATTATCATAAGAATTACTTGGAAAGTTAATTCCCCACTCCCAGTGCCAGGAAATATCTCCCTGAAAGTGGCAGTTTGGCTATAAAAATATTTCCAGAGGAGATCTAAATGAATACAAAAGAGATAGTCTTTCCTCCTGCTAAATCTATTGAAGAGCCCCTCTAACCATGTCCTTTCTCCTCGGGCCCATACACTTACTTCTCTGAGAAAGGCAAGACGAATTTAGGACCTCTTGCCATGACATTACTAAAATCTGTGTTCACATTATGTGTTAACTACCTAAATGTAATAGAGTAGAATTCAAAAGTGACAGGATACCATGTGCACTCCTGTTAAAGTGGGATGAAATAGGGAATAAAAAGGTGGAAAGTAAGTGTGGGGAGGGAATATTTATGAAGAACTAGGAAATGCATTTTCTTCTGGCAATTTGGAAAACTATTCAGATGAAATTGTCACCTTCATGGCCCAAAACTCCAAGTTTTATCCTTTGGCATACTGGCAAAGTTGTAAGGAATTTTTCCCTGGGAGGTCACAGAGAAACTTTCAAAAGATAAGAAAACTCTCCATTTGAGTCCCCTCATGCCTCTTTGAATTGCCCCAACACTTTTCACCTAAAACTTCATCATCACTACCCGCTAACTTCTTTTAAACAGTCCCTCTAGTTTTTTTAAACTAATTATCTCAATGTTTTTTATTTACATCCCTAAAGACAATGATACAAGTTGCAGTAAGTTTTGGTTGTTGGCCAACTTCTATTCTGAAAATTCCTCCACTCCTCTTGTAAGAAAAAAAAAAGTTTACTCTGAATATTGTAAAATATTAGAGAGATAAAAAGTTAATCTAATTGAATTTTAGTTCTTAAAGTTCAACTGTTCATAAGATGAGAAAATATAAATTCCATAACTAAAGCCACTGTGGATTCTAAAAGATCTCAGTTTATGTGTTCTCCCTTACTCATATTTCCATCAAATAGAGCTAAGTCTGCTGTTGCAATGAGTTAAAACTAAAATCAAGCTTACAATTTTAAGAGTACATTGCATTGAATACAAAAAAGATGATGATAATGAGTCCATGCTATATTTGGAAAATTATTCTAAGAACGAAATGAAGCAACTTACTTGCAAGTGAATGGAAGTCCTTTATTCCTAATACATCTATTGGCACATTGGTCTGCAGTGTTCATTTTTTTTGTTTTTATCTTCAGTAATGGGTCTTCTTTTATTAGAGTAGTCTTTGCTGACTTTTTGAATTCATGAAGTGTGTTTCTTCTTTTCTTCTGTCCTTCTATTAATAATAATATTTTTTTAAAAACATAGGGGAAAAGCTTTTAAGGCTCATATAGAAAAAAATATCCCTAAGAATCATCTACGAGGTAATGATTTTATCTGACAACATACCAGACCTCCAGGGGTTGGGGAGTGGAGTAATGTGGGTAATGATACTCTCAGATACTTAAGAGCAAGAGAGGAATAGTTAATCAGTGAAGAAAAAATAACTTCACATACAGAGCCATTCATCTACATTCTTTCAAATGAAGGATGCTTTTAAAAATTAGGACAGAGTTCACTCTTAAGAAATAAATAACATGGTATTCTCCAAACAGTATGAAAGGAAGTGCCAGGACATATCATATCATGCTCTATAATTAAATCTGTCATTTCCTTCTACAATTGGTCCTTATGTAAATTATAGTACTAATTAGATAAGCCAAGTCAATGACAGGTGAGAAACTTCTCACTAAAAATGGTGCACTGGGTAAATTCTTCTGACTTGGTCTTTAAAGTATTTCATACTATTCATATTCTAGCCCTTTCATTTCCTACATAAGTGTTTTCTGTGCTTTTGGGCACTATTTCTCAGTATCACTGAAGTGTTTGTTTTGAAATCAAGCCAAATGTTGTAAATCAAATGTATGTAAAACTTCATCCTTTAATGTAGCAATATCATTTTTCTTCATCAAAGTATTGTACCAGGCCCCTAGATAGCATGAAGCCTCCTATTAAAAAGCTGAAGAGCAAAGCTAAAACATCCCAAGAGACTTAATCTTATGGATAACTTCAGAATATGAAGAACTTGCTTCTTCATTCTTAATTTGCCCAAAGTTACCTGGTTTCTAATGATAATCATCTCTTCACAATGAGGATCAAATTGTCTAAGAGACTGCAGCTGTTGTAGAACAAGGATGGATATAATTGTGCCCCTCCCCTGCCTGTCAATTCATTTGAATACCCTTATAACAAAGGCAGTAATAATACGTACATTTTTAAGATATGAAACCAAGACACGGGAAAGTTGATGACTTAGAAGATCTGATTGAAAATCCAGCTGCCTGGCTTCAGAGCCCCCACTCTTAAACACGTATGATGCCATCTCTCTCTAAGACTTGCTAAGAAAGCATGTGGAAATAACGGCTTGTAAACAGTTTCTGAAGATTTGCTTAAAGCTATCAGTAGAGAAGTGACTTGGATGGCAGAACAGGAAATCAATTCTTGTCTTTAAACGTGGTGAAACGTGCCAAGAAAAGAGGGTGAAAATTTTTCTGCAGAAAATTTGGAAATACGGCTTAACAGAGTGAGGTACCAAGAATGCCATCATACTCTTAGGTCTGCCAGCAACCACTGGCTCCAGTTGTTTTATTAAACATGGAGATGCTACCCATTAATATCTATCCTAACCTGAAGTCCACAGTAAATAAGAGAAAACATGAATTCCTCTAAATTTTGGTTCTCTATAAAACTCCAGAACACAATCCCCAAAAGACTGGTACTAATTTCTGTAATAATGCTTTCATTTTCTTTTCTTTTCTTTTCTTCAACTTTTCTTTGCCCTATAAGATGGAATGGCTATGGTAGAACAGGTATAATTTAAAAGACATCTTAACATAGAAATTCAGTCAACCAAATAATCCTTCAACATGTTATTTATTGAGTGTGGACCAAACGCCTTGCATAACGTTGGCAGACTGATGATAATTCTGGCATTCTTATTGACTTGCCAAGTGACTTTGTTTAATTACCTTAAATGCTAATATCCCATTACTCAATTTACAAAATGAAAGTTATATTATATGTGAACTAAAAGGAGCTATTTAAACTACAATCATTTGGAAATCAATTTGGGTTAAAAATGTTATGAATATGCAAAGTTTTAGTTTTGTTTTTGAAATTTCATCCTTTAATTTCTGGCATAAGAGAAGAAACCGTTATTCTCCCAAGCAAAGAAGTGGTATTAGTCTTTTCAAATTTTGGTTTTTGCCACAGGACCATGTTAATGGGAGATACGTTTCTCCACTAAGAGTTTCCACTTCTTTTGACATTAGTGCACTCTTTCTTAGGTGCTGTGAAATGTTTCACGGCATAAAAATCATTTGAGTTCCTGTATAAATTGGAATACTTCTCAGAAACAAATAGTGGTTAATGGACGCAGAAAATCTATTCAAAAAACTATCTGCCAAAGTGGAAAAATTGTGGTATATATATATATATATATGTATATATATAATATGTATATATATGTGTGTATATATATACATATATATGTGTGTATATATGCACATATATATAAAATAAATTCAATTAACTAAAAGTATAGGATTAAAATTGGCCTAATGTATTATGTATTTATTACCTATGTTTAAGTGTGAGAGAAGAACATAAAACTAAATTTTAAAAGTCTAAGACAAACATTGAGTTCAGACATGTATTTTACCAATTACCAAATAAAATAGAATACCTGGTCAATGCTCTGGTTTCTTTTCTCAGAACCATACAACATGAAGGAAGGCACTGAGGATGACTAGAGAAAAGTGGTTTCTGTGGGACCGTTGATTATATTTAATTCTGCAGATCCTCAGCTGTCCTATTGAAATGTGTTAATGCCTGGCTGTACGTCATAAAAATAGTCTACTCTTGCTTGCTGATAAACTTTCGATCACTACCTTTCATCTAAAGATCAAAAAGTATCCTGAAAAGCAAATAAATCTATGATTTCCCTTTACTAGATAATAAATAGGAGAGAAAAGCTTGTCTGGGGCTACAAATCTAATCAGGGGCAATCAGAACCAGATACTAAGATTCCCTTCTCACTCTTTATTTCTCATGACTTAGAAGCTTTCCCTTATAATTCAGTCATATCATTAGGTCAGTAACTAATTATTCAAAAATGCGAAGTTCAAGCTAGTTGTACGTCATGTAATCCACACATCAATAAAATTAATTCCTTCTTCAATAAAAGAAAAATTCAAAACAGAAGTCATTCAAAAAACAGCATCTGAAAATAAAATTCCTTTGCTGAAAATACTTTTAACTTTCTCTTCCATATGTATTAACAACTGATGCTTGTTTTAACAACAGTTAAAAAACAAGCTTAATTTGGGAAGAAACTCAAAAATATCTTTGGATCAGATTTTTCCCTACTATTTTTTGTGCATGACTGCTAGTTGAAGTTTATAAACAAAACATTGAAATGAAATCAAAGGGTAAGAGATCACTGCAACTTTGTCATGCTTTCTTATATTTTAAATTGCAACTCCTTTTCCCTCTTCCCTCAGTATGGGAAAACATTCTGTAGCTATATTTCCTGAAGAAACCAAAGTCCCTATTTTAAAACTGAAATCATTAGGCTCTTAGTGAAAAGCTACAAACAGAAAGTAGGGTCAAATGTATCAAGGTGCTTGAAGAAAGACACATTTCTCCCTCTGGTCCCTGGGCCTCACACTCATTTCTCTCAGTACCTCATATATTTTCTTCTCTGTATGGACTAACCATTGACTTCAAAGAAAAATCATGCAAAGGAAAGGATTTGCAGGGTGTGGAAAGGAGCAGGAATCTGGCTCCACATATTCTGAGAAATCTACCCACATGATTAGTGATTAACAGCTTGAAGTGGCAAGATGTTAAGATGAAAGTACACAAATAATTAATGGAAGGGAATGGTGGTGACTGGAGATTTACTTCCCAAAGGCAAAAATCATAAATACCAGTCCAAATCTTCATTTCTATTATCTAGGACTTGGGTTTCACAAGTGGACAATTTTCATCCCTTCTTTAGAGAAGGGAACAATATCATAAATAAAGATGTCAGGAAGAGATCAAGTCAGATTTAAATCAAATGTTGGTATTTGAGAAGCAGCATAAGTATCTCTTCCAAAAAGATTTACAAATGAAATGATGTTCAGTGTGAGAATAGGGACCTCCCTAGATATTTCCCTCCTCCTACTTCCATGCCACTTCCTCATTCATCCTCCTCCTGGTCTCTTCCTTCACTGTCTGTTTCTGCCTGCAGCTCTCCTCCACACACCAACTAAAACAACCACACTTCAGTCAGGTATCTTGTCAACTCAGAACCTTCCAGCTGTGACCCATAATGTTTAAAATAGTGTAATTTAGCATGATATTCAAGCGTACTTGCTAGTCTCTCTTACTTTTCCAAACCCAGGCCATACTCCTCCTCAGGTACTCAGTACACCAGCCCTACATGATTGCCTGTCCTCGCTTCGGTACCTTCAGCTACTTTGTGTTCCCCTGACTTAAGTAATGACCGTACTACTACCTGTATTTTCACACTCAACTTGAGTATTGCATACTCCCTAAACCTGGTTCGATCTTCTGAGCTAGAAATGAACTCTCAACCGTAACGTAATAATACTTCTAACACAGAATTGTTCTTACTTAGCAAAATGGATTTTTTAGAGCAAGTTTCAGTTGATTTCATCGCTGCTGTATTCAATATAAATAAAAGGGAAAAATGCACATTGCATATTTCATTCACATAGATTTGGGTAGGAATCTCAGCTCTATCCAATAGGTAAGATAATAAGAAAAAAATTAAGATCTTTAACTTCAGTTTCCTCATGTAAGATGAGTCAATCCAGTAATGCCAATCTTATTAGAATTAAATAAGCTTTGTTTTAGAACTTGGTCCATAACAGTCGCTCAACAAATGTAGGTTTCATCATCAAAAAATCTACAAACAATAAATGCTGGAGAGGGTGTGGTGAACAGGGAACCCTTTTGCACTGTTGGTGGGAATGTTAATTGATGCAGCTACTATGGAGAACAGTATGCAGGTTCCTCAAAAAACTAAAAATAGAGCTATCATATGACCCAGAAATCCCACTACTGGGCATATACCCTGAGAAGACCATAATTCAAAAAGAGTCATGTACCAAAATGATCATTGCAGCACTATTTACCATAGCCAGGACATGGAAGCAAGCTAAGTGTCCATCGACAGATGAATGGATAAAGAAGATGTGGCACATATATACAATGGAATATTACTCAGCCATAAAAAGAAATGAAATTGAGTTATTTGTAGTGAGGTAGATGGACCTAGAGTCTGCTGTACAGAGTGAAGTAAGTCAGAAAGAGAAAAACAAATACCATATGCTAACACATATATATGGAATCTAAAAAAAAAAAAAAATGGTCCTGAAGAACCTAGGGGCAGGACAGGAATAAAGACGCAGATGTAGAGAATGGACTTGAGGACACGGGGAGGGGGAAGGGTAAGCTGGGATAAAGTGAGAGAGTGGCATGGACATATATACACTACCAAATGTAAAATATATAGCTAGTGGGAAGCAGCCGCATAGCACAGGGAGATCAGCTCCATGCTTTGTGTCCACCTAGAAGGGTGGGATAGGGAGGGTAGGAGGGAGACGCAAGAGGGAGGAGATATGGAGATATATGTATATGTATAGCTGATTCACTTTGTTATAAAGCAGAAAGTAACACACCATTGTAAAGCAATTATACGCCTACGCCAATAAAATGTTAAAAGAAAAATGAAGGTATTGGGGTGCAGAGTCAGTAAAAGAAACAAAACAAAAAAAACAAATGTAGGTTTCTTTCTCGCTTGTTCATCTGTACATCTCCCACAGCCTCCTTGATAGTAGGTGCTCATTTAATGTTTTGTTGTTGTTGTTAGAGGGGATTGGATATTTGTATCCAGTGTAGGTGGGAGTGGACAGAGGATAATCCTATGTAAACCAATTCCTATAAAGATGGCTTGGGTCTATTATATTGAACATTTCTTTAAGTTTTTTGAAACTTCTCTAAAAATATCTCCATAATATATTCTGCTCATAACTGGTTGTCACCTCATTATAGTATCCACTTCTTTTCAAATATTGTCTTATTTCACAATAGGTAAAAAAGCAGACTCATAAGCTAAATCAAAAAGTATAACCTAAGCAAGTAACAACAAAATTCTAAATGTTCAATGTTAGATGATATAAAAAAGAACAGACTTTCTTTATATGTTCTAAGAGGACTATCCATGTTTTCCACTTTGAGGAATGTAATTTTTTTAAAAAACTATCAAAATAAAGTTGCCACCCAGACAAAGGCAGACCCTATTTTGTTAACAATTTTAGCATTATCCACTTTAGGAATTATTCTATTACTTGTAATTCCCAACTGGCCTCTCCTTGCCTGCGGCATACTCTTGGGCTGCATTCCCCCTATCCTCAGGAAACGCAGTCATTTCAACATTAGCCAAAATGAAATATAATTACAAATGTATATCTCCTGCCAAAACTTCGCAATGCATGCCAAAAACAAATAGACATTGTCTATGGTTGATCTACTGTTTGGGTTTTCCACACTGTGTTCCCCATGCATAAGCACAGATGATTCCAGGTAACCATATTCTACTTCAGCCCATCAACATTTTGATCTTTGAAAATGAAACTCCTCAAAATATTAGCTGTCATTTCAATTTACACTCAGAATCCCACAAAGCAGCAATGTCATATAAGAATCAATTTTAACATGACCCATCTCAAAGGTGATAACCTGCTAGATTGAACTTTTTTTTTTTCACCTCTTCAGAAATCTAACATAAATGTTCTCGAACTGACACTTCCCACACAGCATTGTTTTCCAAAAGGGACATCACAAAATCGAAGAAAGCCAGGTGGGACTGATTTTCCTCATCATTTTGCAAATTCTTGGTGTTTTCAACCTTTGTATTACATTGGAAACTAGATTGGAGGTCTGATAAATGTCATATTTAACTTACCTCAAAAGATATAACTGAGATATTTCTCTGTCTTATTTAAAAAAACTATGTCTACTGTCTGGGCATTTATTCCATTCTTTTATTCCCCTGTGCCCACCTATGATGCTCACTACCTTCTCCCATTGGCATCCCAGCCACGACAATGATAACACAACCAAATACAGATGTTTCCTCTTGCCCTGATAACAACAGAAAACTTCCCAAAGCAGCAAATGAAACCTCTAAACTTCCAGGCAATATGAACTCCCAAGCAACTCCTTCCCAACCTGTAAATTCTGGGGAGAAAATGGGAGACTGAAAGGAGCATTTCTACAGCTATAATCAGAGTCACACAATTTTTGCCTCCTTGGCCCTGCAGTTTCAAAAGGGCAGGCATCCATACCCAGAAAGAATGAGACCTTAGGAGAGAGGCTTTCTCTTTCATTTTTATAACATGCATATACTCAGACTTTAATCTGCCTTCTCCAAATGAAAATTATTAAGTCATGATTTGGCCCTGAATGTTGACTGAGTGATGTGGGGTAGTGGATTGTCATGGAAAATTCTCCTCTGGGAAAAAAAAAAAAACCATGTCCCTGCTGTACTGACCATCACTTTCCCCCCCTCTCTTCAGCTTTAAATTTATCCAAACCAGCAAAGCTCAGCCAGTGTTAGCATCTCGCTCCGGTCCCACCATCCCTATCAGGCTAAGTGAGAGGGGGCTGGATCAATGGGGAGGGGGATGGAAACAACAGAGGGGATGCTAAGTATCTTTTTAAATGCTTTTCAAACAGAAAGAGAATGTCAAAAGAAAGCTGAATGAGAGATTTTAAAACCCCATACCACATACAGAGTTAAGGAAGGATGCTGGGAATCGGGTAAAGAGAGAGCATTAGGAAAAGGAGATGTTAGCAAGAGAGAGTTAAAGAAGAAGAAGAAGAAGAAGGAAGAAAAGAGAAAACTAACCTGCATAGGGGATGGCAATGGGAAACAGGAGGTGGAGGAGGACGTGCTGCAGCAGTAAGACTGGCAGAAGTTTGGTCACCCACATGGTGCTGCTGGATGTGCTGGCGGATCCCACTGGCGATGCCTGCGTGAAAGAATCCTGTTCCGACTCAGTGCCTAGAAAAGCCCGTCGGCTCTGAGCTGCTTTTTATTGCGATGAGCTAAGTTTGTTGTGTGATTAACTGGAAAGATCTAGGTCTGAACTCCCTCTTACGGTAAGAAACTGTTTAACAACAGCCCTTTACTCTCTTCCACCCCCCTCCTTTCCTCACCACCCCCCACCCCCCAACAGCACCAAACAGATCCCAGCTCCCCACGACCCCACCCCCACTCTGCTGAGGAAAGAAACTTACAAAGAGAAGGTCACCTGGCCTGAGGCCAGCTTCAATTTGGAAGTTGGAGCTCCAGATCCCAGTGGCTCCTATCCGAGCAGGGAAAGGAGCTGCAAGGCTCAGCCCAGTAGCTAAATCAAGGCACAGGCAGAGGACCAATTCGCTAAATTTAAAACAGGAAAATACACGTGTTTACATCTCTATTTGGGAAAAGAGGAAGGGGAAGCAGCATAAGAAGAAAGCAAAGCACTGCCTTTCTGTCAAATGTGCGTCAGCTCCTAATCTCTCTCGTTTCACCACTGGAGCAATCCAGGGATTCCAAACACGGACACAGGCTCCCCAGGTGGTCAGAGCCCGGGAAGGAGGGGGGAGGCAGGCTGGCAGGCAGAGCGCAGACAGGTCCAGCCCAGGTAGCAAGAGGTCCGGTGAGAAAAGGGTATGTTATTGTGGGGTAAAAATAAATAAACAAGCAAAACAAAAGCACCCACATTGCCAGGCAGGAAAATTGCCCCTGCCCAATGGGCTCAAAGCAGGTAGCTTTTTTCAGAAGCTGAGCTAAGCTCCCCAGTCACCACAAAGGTACCAAAAGCACATAGAAGAAATGTGTCTGATTTGGGGTCTGTGATAAAATCTGGTCATGTACTCCTCTTAAAACGTCTAAGACATTGGGATCACCCACTGCCTCTCCCTGACAGATAAATGTGGCATGGATTAGATGTCCTTGTGCACACACACACATACACACTCACACATGTGGGTAACTTCTAAGACTGACTTTCACTGGAAATCTCTTAAGGGGGCTGAATTCATAAATAATTCATACCCCTCTCTTCTCTAGCTCCGTCCCACCTGCATGCGCTCAGCAGCCTCCCTAAATCTAAGCGGAGAGAGGAGGCGCTTGCACTGGGGTGGCGGTGGAGATAAGGGACAGACACTTGTTATCTAGAGATTTGTCTTTGCACCTTGAGGTGATGCTTTGATTACTTTAGGTAAGAGCTTGCTTTATTTTTAATGGATTTGGGAGGATAGTTGCCCCTGTGTATCTCTGAAATGGGTACAGGTAGGAACACTGTCTCTGTCCACAGAAGAAAGGAAAGTGGGCATAATGTGGAATGTCTCTGGAGCAGTGTGCAGCTGTACAGAGATGGTAGTGGGCGAAATTAAAACCATCCACAGACAGCCTTCCCTGCACAGTGCTCACTCATCCTCCAGTTCAGTCCACCCCCACCTCCAGAAAGAACCTAAGGTTGGGGGAGAGCTAGAGAAGCTAGTGATTAAGAACTAGTTTTGAGGAATCCACTTCATCTTACCTTTTCCTATTGTTAATCCTTCTCTTTGATCATTTTCTCCTTATAGAAACAAAACCAAGCAAACTTAAAAATCATTTGTCAGCCTATTTTACTTTCCTTTTCACTTTCTATTACAATGCTCAATTTCAGTATATTGCGTGACCATGATTCTGAATTGCCCCATGGTATCTCCTGTGCTTTACTAGGGATTCAGACGCCTTTTAAAGAAGCTAGATTTTTCTGTAAGTAAATTCTTATAGGTGAAGAATGAAGACCAGTCTTTCTATTTGTTTTCTCTTTCTCAGAGAAAACAGAATCAGGGCCATAAGCATAATTGCAATTATCATTATAGCTTGGGGCAAAATCTATCCTGGATAAGAGATTCAGGGCACTGAAAAGACATTGAATAAACTTATTTAACAGGTCACATATTTTCACAATTTTTTATTGGCACATTAAATATAATAAATGCTTAACCTTATTTAGAATTATTTACTTATATTTCTATTTTGACAGGTTATTTGGTTTATCTATGTTGAAATGACAGCTAATATGCATTGAGTTTTTAGTGTATGCTAAGCATTGTACCAAGTACTCTTAAAAAGATTCTTATTTAATCCTTACAATAAACCTACATTAAAAAGAATTATTATAATTCCCACTTTATAGTTGAGGAAACTTAAGTAAATTATTATTATTATTAAATAACTTGTTCAAGATCCCAAAGGAATAAAGACTCAGGTGGGAGAGTTGAACATTGTTGGTCACAACCCATAGGATGGGGTTAACTTCTGTAAACCTCATAAGAAGAACCACATGTCTTTTGTACAAGATTATAATCACTAAAATTAGCCTAAGACCAAACATAGGAGATGCTTAATAATAATTTACAAAACAAACCAAAATATAAACAATTTAAAATTTCCCAAAACTATGATAAATTACACAAATAAAATAATGAATTGTGCTGTTATTTTACTTTGTCTTGATAATACTTTTTCTTTCTAAATTATAATAATGATGTTTTCCCCATGCCCTGCTCTTACCTTTATACTCCTTAGGTGTTAAACTGTGTAAATCCCCAAAACTGTTTCTGAAAAATTTTTGATGAAACAAAATATAAGGAGAATACTTTAAATGCTATAATTTGTGTAATTACTTAAATACAGGATGGATATTCATTGCCCATATAATATCATTTTAAATCTTTCATAAGTTTAAGGTCTCTAGTATTCCATGTAAACTGGATTGATTGAATGGAAAAATGTACGCCCCTGTAGTTTTTTTTAAAGCCTGCACTTGGTTCCCCCCCAAAAAGAAAAGAAAGGTCCTTGTCGTCAAAAGCCTCCTGTTTCTCAAGCACCAGTGATGTTTGCATTTACATCAGAGTGAAACTGATAGGACTTTGTGCTCTGCAGACCACTAATGAGTTCTGCACTCTTGGACTAGTCGTTTCATTTATTAAGTGATTGGCACATACGTGATACCATTCTGTTTGCTACTGCTACTCCTGTAGACTCAGTTTAGTCGTATGCCTGGTTTCAAATCCCAGTTACAATTGAGAAAGTTAATTAATCTCCCTAAAACTCAGTTTCCCTACCACTAAAGTGGGATACTCTGTAGCAGGTATTGATACTTGGCTCAGCATTTCAAATGTGTTATCTCACTTACCCACCCACCCCTGAACAGAAGCTATATAAGTATAAGAGGTAAGTATTATTATTGTCTCTGATTTACAGATTTAAAAAACTGAGATTTAGAGATCATAAGTAACTTGCTTTAGGTTAAATTGCCAATAGCATGCGATTCTAAGCCACAGCTATCCAGGTGTCAAGTCACTGCTATCAAATACTATGCCACACGGACAGATCCAGACTGAACGATTTCCAACCTTCTTCCTAGCTTTAAAATTTCATTATTCTACTTATATGAATTCTTTAGTGGTCACTATACTTTTATGCAATTCTTGCCTTCAATGTAAGAAAAAAAGTACCTGTGTCATCTTTGAGATGGCTTATCTTTCCCATGCAACCATATCTTCTCATTCTTTCCCTACTTATTTGTTCCACCCTCTAAATGGTAATTTTTCATCTGTAGGCCTCACCACTAAACAATTGTGTTGATTACCTTTAATGTAGGAAATATTGCAAAATTCATTATGATTTGTATTGATTTCCTTTAGATAATACAGCTCATTTCAGAGCATGTACATAAAGTGTTAGTCGACACATTAATTTGCCTTGACTTATATCCAAGGTGCTACCGTCTGAATGTTTGTGTCCCCCCAAAAATTCAAATATTGAAATCTTAACTCCCAAAGATGATAGTATTAGGTAGTATTAGGTAGAGTCTTTGGGAGGTGCTTTGGGAAAGGGATTAGTGCCTTTATAAAAGAGACTCCAGAGAGATTCCTTGCCTCTTCCACCATGTGAGGACACAGCAAGAAGGCACCATCTATGAACCAGAAAGTAGGCCTTCACTAGACACCAAATCTGCTGGTGCCGTGATCTTGAAATTCCAGCCTCCAGAACTGTGGGAAATAAATTTCTGCTCTTTATCACCCACCCACTCTGTGGTGTTTTGTTGTAGCTGCTCAAAAAGACTAAGACACAGGGACCTTTAACAGTAGCTCCTAGTGAAGGAGTATATGTTCTAGGGATAGAAAATGTTTATTGGGTAATTGCTGTTCAGAAAACAAAATTTAAAAGTGTCTAATGTCTAACACTGAGTACTAGTTCAACTAAAACTTTGGAGCAGATAGAAAACATTTATAAATAAGTGAAGCAGAATCAGAAAACAATATGATAAAAGTAGGCATGATAGCATGTTTATTTGAAAATTTCTTCAAGACAGGGTACAATGGCCATGTAAAAACCTCACCCTGTGCTGTCAGCATGTTAGCCACAAGCCATATGTGGCTATGTAAAAACTTAAGTAAAATTAAAACTAAACTTTCAAAGTTGCACTATCAATGTTTCAAATACTTAACCGTCAAATGTATGTCGCTCCCATCATGAACAATGCAGATATGGAATATTTCCATCATTGCAGAAAGTTCTATTAGATAATGTTTATCTAGTCTAAGATGTCATTTAAATGTCCTTTTAATGTGATTGTAGGCTCAAGCAGAGGGGTAGAGCAAAACAATGGCTGTTAAAGATGAAAGAAAAAGAATACTAAAAATTAATCTGTACGTTGGTGACATTTACTTTGAAATCCCCCAACTTTCTTTCTATTAGTATTTTACATAGTTTGAACAAGTATAACAGGACTCCAAATTACTTTGTCTTTTGAACAGAAGACAGGTCATTGTTCGGAGGATATGTCAGGCGCACAGGACAGACCAAGCACAGAAAAATTTGTCGTGAGAAAAAGTTTTTAAAATAGGTTTTTTTTTTTTTTTTTTTTTTTTTTTTTCGGTATGCAGGCCTCTCACTGTTGTGGCCTCTCCCGTTAGCGGAGCACAGGCTCTGGACACTCAGGCTCAGTGGCCATGGCTCACGGGCCTAGCCGCTCCGCGGCATGTGGGATCCTCCCGGACCGGGGCACGAACCCATGTCCCCTGCATTGGCAGGCGGACTCTCAACCACTGCGCCACCAGGGAAGCCCTAAAATAGGTATTTTTAACAAAACACCTGTCTACTAAGGAATGTGATACAACCCATACATTCAAGTATAGGGTCTCTGGGAAAGTGGTAGGTCTTTGTCCATTACATTTTTTAAAAAAATGACCTAATTGAAAACGGCTGGCAGGACTTTAGGATGCATTATAGATGTAACGTAAGGTTTTTAAAGTTAATTCAACATTGATTTACCACTAAAAAGGTTAATGTTTACTCAATCAAATCATAGGCTCAACCCTTACCCCTGACTTTTGCCACACTCCCAGGAAATCTGCTGCAGAATTTGTGGTAAGACCACAAGGCAACATCCAGGAA